ATATTGAAGTAGTTTACATTTGTTTAAATGGTTTAAAAAATAACTGCAAAATTGAATATTTGGGTTATTTTTATGTATTAAAAACGGTGATATGGACCCCACACAGCAGGCGCGCAACCAGAAATTTCAGAGGGCAGGGGTCCAAGACACAAAAAGGGCACTAATTAAACTTCATTAAAGGTCCACCGGGGCATTTGTTTAGGTACACCGAAAATATGAGCAGTTAGTAAATCTGTAAATATTGTACGCCAGACAAGGGAAACTGATCAATAGAGAAAAGTTGTGGTGTACGGTTTATTTTGTGGTGAGGTGTGATGAAGTTTAGGAGGCCCGAAGGAGGGGGGAAATGGAAAAAACAATGCCTCTTGCGAGCGAAGCGAGCAAAAATTTTGCCACTACACCCTTGCAAATAGCTTAAATTCACTAATTCGTTTAAGATGTTTTACTTTTTAATTGTAATTTTGTTACTTTTAATAAATTCCATTTAAAAACGGAATTCATTGCTTTGTGAGGCTCCCTAGACCTCGAGGCCCTAGGGCAATTTGCCCCTTTGTCCCCCTCTCGGCGACCCTGCTGTCATCTCCTTTTCCCAGCGCCAGCTCACTTTTGAATAGCAACCCATCATCTTCCATATCCGAAGACATTTTGCGCTTCAAAATATTATTATTGAATTCTTTGCTTCGCACTACAGATTGGAGGAGGTTGAACAGTTCCACGAGCCTTGCCTTCAGCTGGTTTCTGTCTCCAAGTCTTGCCTTCAGCTGATTTGTAATACTGACAAGGAACGGAACAGCTGAACATCAACTTTTTGTGCCATAGTTACTGCTTGCTAATACCAGTCCGAAAATATTTCTCTGCATTCGCTCGTTTCATGCAAAGGTCTTCTATGACCCTGTCAACTATGTGACAGGCTTGAAAAATGTCTTGGTTTTTATTCTTGTAACTTTTTACCAGAGGTCGTAGAGGCTCTATCCAGTTCAAAATCTTGTGCCTTTATTTTGGTTTTTGAGTCCCAGAACCATTCTTCTTCAAAGCCAGTGCGTAGCGCATCATAAAACACGCTGTAGAGTTGGGGCTTGAAGATAGACTCTATTACTGCAACATGATGACGTTCGACCCAACAAGTGCGTGAAAGTTTGACTAAATCATTTATCTGTATTCCTGCGAGGTCCATTACATCTCCGGAGTGTGTCATTTACTGTATGACCAACCATTTTAGCGTAATACGAAAATTATTCAAAACAATTTCCAGGGAAAAAGCCATTTCCCCCTTGAAAAAGACAGGTCACCCCCAGGACCCCCCCCCCCCCGTAGTTGCGCGCCTGCACAGAGAGACAAGGAGTCCCTTTTTTCCATAAAGCGAGTGCCCCCGGTGTTTTCGACGTATCTCAGGTGTTACACAATAGAACGTTGTTAGGCAGTTATAAAAAAACAATAGGAAACTTATTACTCACCATGCTTTTTTCATTCTTGCTTCGTTCTTTGTCTTGTTTTGGTTTACGAACTGAGGGTAGAGCATCACGTCGAAAAAATGTTTTGGTATTTTCGGTGTCAAAACCAGGAGGAGAGGGAAATGTACGGGAAAAATCAGACGGAAAAAGGTGATCTTGAACAAGATGATGGCTCGATATCTTTACGCTGCATTTTTAATAAGTAATGCCAAGCGGCGAACTTCTGTTGGGGCAGGTTTTCCAGGATGGCAGTCAAGCACAACGGTATCTTCCTCAAGGGGGTATTCGTTCCATAAAGTCATGCACAACACTTTATTTCAATTTTTAACAATTTATATTGAGCCAAAAAAATTTTCTAAATTACTTTCCGGCCTTTGATGGCATTGCTTGAGTTAGCTAAATAAAACTTATGACAATTATTGAGGAAAAAAATCTTTAGGGGGACAACAGTAGTGCCCGCACATAGTGAAACCATACAGAAGCCTTGTTCTATTCAACGGATACACAACCACTTTACGTCACAGGGGTCACGTGACCACAGGTTCGACCGCGTTTTTCTTGTGACACATTTTAGCTCGAGTGGGTGTCGGAAAACCCCGTTTTTTGAGGAAAGTAAGTCGCAAATGAAAAAACTAAGCTCACCATCGTTACCAGCGATGTTTCTTTGATGATTTAAGCGAATAAAAATTTTCGTGTCATATGCACTTTAAGTACCGTCTTATTGCATTAGGAACAGCGAGCCCTGAGCCCAGAATACTGCGTGCTTACGTGGAGCCCCAAATTTAGGAAAATGTCTTTTTCAGTACTTAGATACCTCAAAGTGATATTTTTATCGAGAGAGTCTAGGTGTAATGGCAAGAGAAGAGGGCCCCATACAATACAAAGCCAGTTCGAGGTAAAATGAAGATATGTGGGAGGGCAATGATTGTGGGAGGGCCCACCGGGCGATCGCCCGGTAGCCCGACCGGCCAGTCCGCCCCTGGTTTGAAGATCTTATAAGCGCAGCTCGATCTGACAGTATTACGTAAGGCAGGTATAGAAAAAGCTATACTTCTATCCATGCCCCCCCCCCCGTTCCAGTTTAGCTGTCTACGGGCCTGAAGTTGCATCATGAATTGCAAATTGGCTTAGGAAATAGATAAAAAAGATTAAGAATAGCTTGGTGCCAGCATAAAGTGATGAAGTTTTGTTTTTCTTTTGCCTAAACTTGGCTCGCAAGATCTATTTGTCAACTGAAAATTTTCCAAAAACATTGCCAACGTATGTCAACATTACAATAGATGAAACTATGGGACAAGTTGATAAAAGAAAGCTTCAAAATATTGCCTCAGATTTTCCTCCAGCCAAAATCATTTTAGATACAGTTTCTTGTCATTTTAGGATCCATATCTACCTAAAATATTTCTTGTCGCCAACCATGGTGGCGGCCCTTCTTTGACCCTTACAGAACACACTACAATAATACATACATCGCTTCATTACACGGAAATTATTTTTCGCTGGTTAATAATTCGTTTTACTGATGATAGGTCTGGATGTTATCCAATAAATTATATTTGAGTTAGAAGTACTTTGAATTAGAGAAATTTCAAGGATTTAAAGATTTAGTATACGTTACCCTAGACATATTTGCCACGCAAGCCTTTTAAAATTCTTATAGGTTTAAGGAAAACTTGAATTATTGTTATGAGGAGCTCAAAGAAACTTTAGTCTATTTTTGCGGATTAACCTAAAATTGGTTTTCCTCAAAAACATGCTTATGGATTCCCCCAAAACGCGAAATCTACAACAATTTGTTTCTGCAAACTTCATTTCCTTATCTACTTTCACGCTTTTATTTGCTCTAACTTTGTTATCATTAAGTGTGTATACGATAATACATTTACTTTTTAATATATTTTTTAAGTAGAAATAGTTGGTCAAAAAAGTGTAGTTGGTCACTTTTTTCTGAACGCCCCCCCCCCCCCACCAAGCTAAATTGTCTAGGCACATCACTGTGCAATCACACCCTGATTTCCACATGAATCTTGTTCAAGACCTATGGACGGATAGGTTTGCAATTTCGAAAACTTCTTTCAAAAAACATTCAAACAAACAAATTTTGGAGGATACCAGAATATATATTAAAGCTGAAGTAATTTTACCTCAATTAGTCTTAGACAATTCAACCAACTACGCAGGTATAGCCACAAATTCAGAAAACAGAGACTAGGAATTTCGGAGCATCGCGAAATTTAAGACAGACTCTCTGCTAAGCCGTTTCAATGTGCTTTTCAAACTTCTAAGAGTTCAAAACTTAGTGATAACTTTCGCACAAAACCAGATTTCAAAAACCAAATACATAGAAACATACAATAATAAATCCATGTAGAATTCGAAATCTCTCTTAATCCAAAACTCAGTTTTTTTCACAGGGTCTTTCAAAAGCACATCGCCACATTGAAAGTTCAGCCTAAACAGGCTTAGCACCATTTCTGAACATTTTTGTACTTGTTCATAGCTGACCTGCTTGAAAAGTGACACACCCCACTTCATAAAGTAACGAAAATTAATTAATTGATATTCTAATATATGTATTCGTATTTACATAACAATTGTGAATACAAATAGTTATAACGTAAAAGACTAAATGTAGAAACTAAAAGTTGATAACCAAACCCTAGGGAGAAAATTGGAGTGTTGTACCAAATTGATTCAAACCCAGTATTAATCATGTATTAAATTGAGTCTATTTAATACGGCACATGAATAATATGCCGTCTGAACCAGGCCTAAAGGTGTGTAGTTAGATAGCCAAAGAAATTATAAACAATGCAAGATGAAAAAATTATGGATAACCTATGAAACAAGCAAGAAAGCAAAATGTGTTCAAACAAGCACTATCACACGTTATCATCAGGAACAGATGGGCCAGTGCTGACCCACCGTGGCACGCCCAATGGTCGTACGCCAGGTGTCTCTGTTTCTTGCGCTTCGTAGAAGACCAGACATTGACATTCCCAAGACCTCTTCAACATCATTTTCAAGTTTTCGCCGTGGTCTTTCTCTCCTTCGCTTGCCACTGACCATTCCAGAGAGAATGTCATTTCCTAAGCCTTCGCTTCTTGCGAACACGTTATAACAAAAAGAAAATCAATCGCAACGTGCTCTTCTTCTTATTAATAATATAGTATGTCACTGGGGCCAGGAGCTGGAGCCTAATTTTCTTAAAGTAAAACTTTCATCCATTTTTAAAGAAAGTATTATTTGAGCAGTTTGTCAAGGTTGAGCTGGCAAGTATGACGGCTTCTTGACTGCTGTCATCTGGAGGATTGGTTTCTTATAGACTGTTTTTATCTGAAAGAATTGTAAACTTCTTCTCTATACGTCAGGAGCATACATATTACATTTACTGCATCAAAGACGCTTAAAAAATTTGGAGATGGAAATTACCGGGAGGGAAGTTATATTATATCCTGTAGACCCCTAGAGATCCAAATTTTCTCACCAATCGTTGCTCCTACGCTGCAGCAGCCATTGTTCGTCGAACAAGTTGCTAGCGCAGGCGCAGCAGGATGTGTACACTAGACAAATGGGCGAGAATTACACCCGCCCGGCCCGAGTAGAACGAGTAGAAAGTCTACTTCTTTGGATTTAGGCCAACAAATTGATAGTCCTTTCGAGTCCTTGTCTAGAACCAGATGTGATTTTACATATTTGCCACCGTTGCAGAAGCATCGCAAGGCAAAACCGGTAGTCGAAAGGCCTTGGCAGGGCCTCGGATGGACCTTGAAACCTATCGTTCCACTGTAACATCATCACAACTTTGCTCACACGATTTCCTGGATAGTAGGATTGCTCCGCAAAACTGTGAAAATGGCATTTAGCAGAGAAACAAATTTGGGGTTTTACTTCATTTTTGGGATGTGTACATTTTTTATATGGTGTGACCTGAGTTTTTTCAGCGAATTATCAGAAAAGGGAGTATCGAATAACGTTACGAAATCAGGACGGCCCGTGGCAACGATCAAACTGCGAATGCAAGACCATTTCGCTCATTATTTGTATCTTCCGTTCTGCAACTGGGTGGAAACTGCCTTTAAAATTTCTGAGATTCCTGGGGTAACTCCGAACCTAATTACGTTGATACATTTTGTATTTGCGATGATAGCAGGCCGATTTATGGCAGATGCAGACCTTTCATGGCGTCGTTTGGGGGCAGTAATATTCGAAATGCGTAGCTGCTTAGATATATTAGATGGTGTAGTTTATAGGTCACAGTCGCATAGCACTAAATTCATGTCAGGACATGGGACTCTAGGATGGTATCTAGATTCTGGAGCAGATACACTTGGCTCACTGTTTTTTGCCGCAGGTGTTTATGTTTACTACAACAAATTTCCTCCTGTTAAAACGAAAGGCACCATTAAAGATATGAAGCTGAAAGATGAAGAGAGCGCCGTGAAGCTCTTGTCGGATGGATCAGCAGACGAGGACGAAGCATCCCATTCCAAGAGAAAGCGTTTTTCTAGGAAAGCCATCAATGTTACTATAACTTTGTATGCCATTCAGGTTTTCCTTCGAAGTGCTCTGTGGGACCACTTTCTTCAAGCATACAATGAATTGCTAGACAGACCAGTTGCTGGCGTTTCTCCCGTATGTATTTTTGTCTGAAGTGATAATATGCTATTTCTTTTATTTTTGATGAAGATATGTAAACAATTCTTATTTATTCTAGTCAGTCTCTGTAAACAGGTCAAGAGGCAATACACATAAACAGGTCACACAGTAGCAGCTCTTACAAATCACCCTGCCCAACCCCTCTCTAAAAGACTTTTATTGGTGTATATTTGTGCAATTATTTAACATTCATAACTTTCTAAACAGATAACATTGCACAAATGTTCAAGCGAAAATCTATTGCACAAGTTAACTCTGTTTGTGATTTGATTTATCTTTGCAAGTCTGATGTTGCGAAGGTCCAAGGCTTTTTGTGGGCTCTGACTGTATTTAAAAATGAAAAGCCCTGTGTATTTCCAAGTCCTCTCTGCACCTTTGACAACATTACAATAATAATGATAATATTAGCAGTATATTATTATTCTAAATTGGGTACTTCATTCATGAACTTATTCTCTTTGATTTCAGGCACTACAAGCCAAGATTTTGCACTACCACAGTACATGGCTAATGCTTTGGTCTTGGAAGATCTTCAGTGCAGATGCATTTTTGCATTATTCAATGGTCGCAACATTTTTCAATAAGCTTTGGGTTTGTCTTGCTCTGACTTCAATTTTTTCCATTTAGATTAATTTTGGAAACATTTAGAAAATATTTGCAAAATTCTTGAATAATCCTCTCCATTAGCAATCTATCTTTTCTGACTCGTTTGAACTTCTGAGATCTTCAATTGATTTTTTTGTTTAGATTTTGGTTTTTGGCTTTAAAAATTTAAAAAACCAATATCTGATTTCATGCAAAGCTATATATATATATGTTTGGTGTTTGATGCTGAAAGTAGCTTTTATCCCTATCTTTGTTTATCAAAACCTTTAGAATGTTGTATTGATCATAAAGTCTCTTGAACGTTTTCTTTTTCAATAAGTTAGAATGGATTTTTTTCCCACTGGCCTTACCATATATGCATCATACTAGTAAAATGTATCAAATACTGTGAACCAGTTTCTATTTAATTCTTCTTTAAAATTAATGATCTTTATTTTTAGAGTTGGATGCGTTTTTGGGTGATATTAGGACCAGCAATATTGGCTGTACATTGTTTGATCGTACAGTTACATGTCATTCAGGTTCGTTTTTCTGAAATCCAAAAAGAATTGTACAATATTAAATGTTATTTGGGTAGAGTATTTTCCTGTTTAGAACCAAATTTTGAGGAGACTACACATTGCTTTTTAGTAATTATCAATTAAGTTTCAGCATAATTTTTCCTTAGAGGAATTCATGTTCCATTTTTTATTTTTGGTAGAATTGTTTCAGTATGTAGATTTGAATTTGTATTTTTACATAAAGTATTTTATCAACAATTTAAGTAATTTTTATAATGATACATTACAGTTTGAAATTCTTCAAAGTTTGTATTTATTTTTCTTTCCAGGTTCGCAGTTGGCTTGGTATATGAACTTGTGTTCAGCTTGGTTATGCAAAAAATAGTAACTTCAGTCTTGAATCTAATGAATTGTGCTAATTTTTTTTATTTAGCTGTCAGTTACGGTTTTTGTAATCAACATTTAATTAATGATTTTATTACTCACCGTAATCATAAGTCAGTGTGTGTTTTCATTCTTATTTTAAACATTTCATAAAAATTCAATAATCATAAAATATTGGTAAAAATTTGCCTGGCATTTTTTAGAATGCATTGCAATTAACATATTTAATTTAATTGATTGTATAGTTGTAACATATTTTATTGAAAGATAGTTGGTTTGTTGTTTTCTCTAATTTTGGTTGTTTCAAGAGCAAATATAAAGGGATTTTGAAACAACAGTGCATGTACACAAATTCTGGTTTTCACTGAAGAGTAATTTTCTCTGTCATTTATTTAAAATTATTTCAGTTTACCGGAAACTCTTTGCATGAGCAGAATGACCTCTGTGGATGATTTAAAAGTTATTTTTGGTTGAGCTCTTGAATTTAATGATATTATATTATTCAAGCCAGATGGAAAGGTAGTCAAATTCATTGTATGGTGAGTTTTAAGATGATATAATATGCACTCTACTCTTTCCCTGGTTTGTGACTGGCAATTTGAATGGCTTATTTGGGGGCAGCTGGCAATTTGAATGGCTAATTTGGGGCAGCTGAAAAATTTTAAACAATAATGACACCAGCTGAAATCCCATGAATTTTTCTTTTGAAAAATTTCAAGTTTATAGTTTGATTGATAAGAAAGCCAGAATAAATGGTAAAAATAAAACCAAGAGTGGATATGCAGATTGGATGGGAATCAAACTTCAGCAGTAATCACAATACTAAAGCCAACTTTTCTGCTTCAACTGTTGTGCTGGTGGGCTCCTTACTGTCTATTTTTACCAGGCAAACTAAAAATATAAATCATTTCCGTATCAAAACTTAAATCAGGGGTCGGCAACCCGCGGGCCACATGCGGCCCACAAGGTACTTTTATGTGGCCCGGAAGGTGCCTGTTAACCTGTAAATAATTTGGCCCAATGCACGAGTGTCGGCTCGGATTCAGTGATCCTAGATTCTTGTCTAGATTAGCATTCCCTGCAGTCATTACTAGTCACTCGACAAGCTGAACAGGAAGCTTCAAGGCCATGGTCAATTTGTGAATGTCATGTATGAACATGTTGTCATGTTCCTGCTTATGCAACATCTTTGGAAAACTAAGCTGAATCAAGGGAACTTGGTTCACTTTCTATCTTCAAATGGAGTTGATCGAGCTGCAGGGTACCAGAGAATTGAAACAGAAATATCATATCATCCAGTTTTATATGGAGTATTTCCATGGTGGATGATGGTTTATATCCAGGTCTGGTGCAGCATGCCAAGATGTGTTGCATGTTTGAAAGAACTAACCTTTGCGAAAGTCTCTTCTCAAAAATCAAGTTTCCGAAGAGTTGACTGCGATCTCAAATGACTGATCAGCACCTTGAAGGCAACTTGCGGCTGCCAACATCAACAATTCTGCCAAATTTTGAGAAGCTGGCCAAGGACATGCAACACCAACTTGCGTATTAGCTTCTTGTAATATACTGACCAGTGAACATGTACTTTACATCTATGTTTGATTTACGCACAGCTTCCATGTTACAGTACATTTACTGGTAATACAATTTTATTGAATAGATTAGCAGTTAGGTAGAATTGGTATGTATTAAAATCACACTGTATTTTGAGTTGCGGCCCTCATATACATTTCAAAAATCAAATTTGGCCCGTTGTTTTATAAAGGTTGCCGACCCCTGACTTAAATCTTACTTCACAACTACAAAGCAGCTGTGGTTACGACAGGTATCACCTGAGCCCAGAGAAGTTATGAAGGGCATTTACAGTTAGCTATAGAGTTGGGTAGTCAGAATCATAATGGTAAACGGGGATCTGCTGGTGCATCTGGGGGCTGGGGGGCTTTTCTTCCTAGTCTCTTGGGCTTACTGCCTCTGCGGAGGAGCTTTTAACGACTTGTTGATTTAAACCACCAAAACAGAGGTGTTTTGCAGGTCACGTGACTTATATTACCCTTTACCAATAATGTAAAATTTTACCATATCTGGAAGAGTAAGGCCCCTTTCGTTCAAGAATACTTCAAACCTTTAAAGCGTTTGGAGAAAGCTGAATGTTCAATCCAGGCTCAAAACCTTATCCAGTCACAAACTTGCCAATAATATCAAATTTATTTTCATAATTCCTTGGCATTCATAGCAGCACCTACAACTAGCGTGACATTGGCATTTTACTTCATCTGTAAGTACAACAGATTCCTGTTTGTTGTGATAGAATCTGTCACTTTAACATTGATAGGCGGTAAATAGAGCATCACTTTTGTCTTGGACGATTCTTGAGGTAAACCTGCAATTCTTAGTTTCATTCTCCACTCAAAGAAAGATAAAACCACTTAGTCACCTGAATACGCATTCCTTAACATCATTTACGCAATGGACAAAGAGCGAAACGAAAATTCCAGCAACTCTACTTCCGTCTTGCTGCACTGGGTTTGAGCCGATTGCTCTTTCTTTGGGTTGATATATAAGTATTGATGAAGCTCTCACTCATGTCTTCAACATTTCGTTTCCTTGTTCGGTCTATTTTCATTTTGTTGCATAAATTACCATTTTGCGGTTCATATTGAAGTTATCAGGGCCAAAAGTACTGTGAGAATTGTTTGTTTTTCTGATTTATAGGCCTGAAAGGCAATATATCACCAATTTCAGAGAGGGAGAGAGTGGTTTCAGCCAGTGGCGGCTCCAGCCCGGGATAAGTGGGAAAGACCAAAGAGAGTCCGGGATCACGTCCTTTAAGACCATGCTCTTTTCCCCGTGAGAAGAATTTTCTTCCTTAAAAAACACACCTTGTCTCCCAAGAATTGTCATTTAATTTACCGTTGGTAATGAACACTATTGCCTGAAACTCAATTTCCGCCAACTAGAAGTGAAGTTATAACAGCTTTGCCAATCTCTTGGTCCCAAATTAAAATAGAAGAGGAACATTAAGATTTTCATTTTCAATGACCAACCAGTAGTTTTATTTTAACCCAGCTTGGCCTTTCGGAGTTAAATGTGCACAGTAGTTGGAGATCAAGGAAAGGCCTAATAAACGAAATGAACTGCGAAAAGATCTAAACAAGGTTCTCTCCCGGTTAGATGAACTCCCGATATAACGAACCATTTTCTGGTTCTCTTCAGAGTTCGCTATATCGAGATTCCACTGTACTTACAAGACTCAATGCCGGATAAGATCAATCCCAGATCTTCCTTGTGATCTTGTGATGGCATAGGTGCAATGTAGATATTATTGAAATGGCTGAATATAAGATTTGCCTTTCTCCCAGGTAAGCCCAATATCCAATATCTGATGAATTTGACTTGAAGTAACCAGGAGAGATGAATAAAGAAGCTTGAAACTTCATTTTTCCCATTTATGATAAAGGGTGATACAATAAGCCAATTCACGAAATTTCTCCGAAATAAGCAAAATTGCAACAAAATCACTTATCCAATAATTTTTATCGATGCCTAATCACAGAATGCAAGATTTCTACCACTAATCGTAGAGAGAAGCTTGCTTTTCATTTTTAATAAAAGGTGTCATAAGTCTCGTGGCCTAGAAAATCCCCCCTCCCCCTCCTTCGAATTATGTCCAAATGTGTTCTTGGTGATTGTCTATATGTTGTAAGTGTAATCTCAAATTAGATTGCCTTTTGCTGGTTTGAAACAACAAACCTCCGCAAATTTTACAGAAATTGTATACCTATAGTAATTTGTGAAAGTAGCTCTTTATGGAAATTGTATGAAAGACAAAGAGAAGGATTCCAGACATTGCAACTATTCCAGTCCTTTACTTTGCAAGAAACGCTTGCTACACAAGTCCCTGAGATTACGATTGACTCGGGCCAGTATAGCTTCCATCAGTCGAACTTCGCAACCTGCCGTTGGGTTCAAAGAAAGAACACTTTTCATTTGTTCGATCAGGGAGTTCTTTTTACTTGGGTAACAAAGATCGCCATTCGAATATGCTAATTTTTGCAGCAGTTACAGAAGTATCATAATGGAGGTAATAAGCGATCAGCCAGAAATTAAATTTGGAATTATAAACGATGTATTTCTTCAGGGGCAAAATGTTGACTGTTGTATTTTCTTTCAAGGATACCAGTTTTCCGAAGACGACAAAATATCATTGTGGGGAAGCATTAGTGGAGAAGACGAAAAGTGTTTTTCCTATCAACTTGTCAAAGAAGGAGAGTTGTCTAGAGAGAGCGATGTAGAAGATACTTCTATGACATTTATTTTTCAAGGATACGAATTCAGCTCGGCACATATTGAGCGTTATAAATTTAAATACATGACAGCTGATTTAAGGATTCTAGCAGAAAGTAACTCATTTGCAATTGCAAAGGAAGATGCAAACGGTGATGGCGACGGCATCAGTAACAAGAAAGAAAATGTCACGGATTCGCTTGCTTCCAACGAAAGAGATACGGAAGAAGCTGTTAATGAAAAAATAAAACGTCTTGAGAGGGAATGCAAGTTGCTGAGAAAGGAGCTTTACCAGGCACATCAGGGAATGGAGTTACAGGTTTCTTGCAGCAAAGTTCTTCAGACAGATAAAAGGATGATTTCTGACAATTTAGAAGAAGAAAAGCGGCTGCGGGAGAGAGCTGAGTACACAGTGGAGAATCTGGAAAAGTGTTTGACAGAAAAGTTAGAGCATATCGACGTGCAGGATGTCAAAATAAAAGACCTCGAGAGAACAATCAGACTAGAAACTAGAATGCATGATGCTTTAAGGGAAGATTTTGACGGTCAAACGTCAAACAACGAAGAATGTTTCATGGAAAATGAGCAGCTGAAAATGAAACTTATTGAATTCAAAAAAGAGTATGTGCGCTTAAACAAGCTGAATGAGGATGAAAGAGAGCTATACAAGCACGAGTTCAACAAACAAGAAAAGGAAATGCTACTGATCAAGCACAGTATGCAGCAGAAGCTGGATAATTTTGCGACATCTCTACAAGATGCTGAGGAAAACAACAAAACTCTCGAAAAAAGGCTAACAATTGAGAAGGAACGGGCTTACACTTTGGAAAACAACCTTCGGGAAATATCGAAAGAATATGATGAACAGCTTGAATTAAAGGAATTTGAGATTGCAGAATTGAAAAAACAAATGGAAGAAGTCGAAGAGATCCTGTCTGTTGAGAGGGAGAAAAAAATGAACCTCACAAGGGACTATGAAAGCACTATCGAAGAATTGGAACGGAAACTTGCATCTGAGCTGAAAAGGGTCAATACGTTAACTTCAAAATGCAAAGAAATACAAAAAAGGGCCGGATTAGCAGAAGAAGAAGTTGATGTTCTTAAAGGCAGGCTGGAGAAGGCCGATAAGAAAATGAATGAAATGGAAGAACTTGTTAAAAAAAGCAAGTCAGAGCTTGAAATTCTACAGCAGACTGTTAGTGCGACCGACATGAGTACAATGAAACAGGAAGTCGATTCAAAATCATCAGCAAGTTGGGGCAAAGATGGGAAAACAGAACACAAGATACCTATGAACTACAGTGAAAAACCGCTGTCCAAAGGTGTCACAAAGCTTACGAAATCGAAAGACTTTACGACTACTGATTCGAGGTGTCGTTTGAGCAAAGAGAAAAATGCGAGCCAGCGAGACAGTGCGGGGAAAACAAAGAATTCGGGAACAAAAATTATGTTTAATTGTACTGAACCGAGAAGACGTTATTCAGGAAGGAGAAGAAATGACTTAGACAGCAACAATAATGACAACTGTTACTACTATGACAGAGACAGAGCGAGAACAAGTCAGAGAAACCCTTGCGACAAACCTGAACGACAGACTGGTCTATTGCGGCAACATCGCAACTCATTGCTTAGGGAGAATTCAAGGCTGCGTTATAGCATGAAGATGTTGAACCATGATTGCGCAATTCTCAACTACACCTTACAGCAAGTTATTGTAGAAGCCGAGCAAAAGCTGGAGTCTTTGTACTCACTCTACATGAGGAAAGAGTCAGAATGTGCGGCTTATGAGCAAATGCTTGCACCTGGTGGGATTATCAATAGCTACGATCCATATATGGTACCAAGCGACTATATGGAAACTTATCTGCCAGATGGAGCCTGCGTGCAAAGTGGAAATTATGAGCAGTACACCGATGGCTACTACGACTATTTTGGACCTAATGACACTTTGATGCAACAGCAAGGATATGCAATTGACGAATTTCAGTACCAACTGCAGCCTTATCAAATACCCAACCAGCCATTCAATCAAATGTACTTTGTGCCTCAGGTGTACTTTCCGCAACAGATACAATGTCTTGAGGCTCCTTTGCAGTTACAATGTGAAACTCAAGTCTTGTCAAATCAGCAAACCATGAATTGACTTAGAAAGAGAAGAGATAGTGAATCACAACAAAACTTTCCAAAACTTTCCAAAGCAAATCTTAGCATTTTTCACAAGTTTAACCTTATTTCTGCCAAGTTTGAATGGTGGTTTAGTTGAATCTTGTTATTTTGTTTTGAATTAACACCCACCAAAAGACGAGCATCTTATTTAATAAAAAATTTCGCGCAAGAAATTTCACTGACATACATGACTTGATATTGAAGTTTTTATCAAATACAAGAATCTAGCCTACATTTTTAAAGTCCTCTTGTCCTCTAGCAAGCAAAGTTAATGATATTTCTTTTTCCAAAAGTACCTTTAAGAACGAAAATTTTCAAATTGCTTAAGCGCAATAAAAAATTGCTAGTTGCTTTTCATAAACATTGTTTTTAGGGAAAATGGGAAAATATTTCATCTTTCATTGGGAAATGAAACAAAATTGAATAGATTATATCCTTCTGGTAACTTCCTTTGTTAAACAGAAAATATCTATGACATGTTTTAACTATAGTTAATTAATTGTGTTGTGAATGAAGCAAAGACTAAAAGATAAGATTTGATTGACTGCCTTTAGTCATTTCTAAATTCTAAAGAAGGCATTTAACCACAATTTATATGTTCTTTAATTTCAAAATCATAAGAAACCATAATCGAGGCCTATGTCTTAAATTTCAACAATACAATCAATGGAAGGTATTTTTTACTGAAAAACATTAGGAACCATTTCACAGGCGATTGTGATTTGAAAGAAGCAGAGTCCAGAAAAATTGATGGCTCCACGGCTGGGAGCCGGAGGAAGGTTTGGCCTCTTCATGTCATATTTGAGGAATGTTAATAAGTAATTTCAAAAGAAATTGGTTATCAGGAATTTTTTTGCAAATACCAAAATTGAGGAAGAATTGTCAATTTTATGGAACCCTTGAAACAACCAATTTTCCAAGTTTATTCATGAATATTATTGGAAAGCTTTGTTCAAATTGGATATTTACTAAAAATGTTCCTAAAGCTAAAGCTCAATCTTCCAAATACCAGCTACTTCAAAGGCTTTACTCAGGACGTCTGTGAAAACTCAAATATCTTCAGCAAGGCAAGGGATACTTTGATACAAGGCAAGGAATAGCAAGAAAGTTCTTGAGGAAAGTGCTAAAATATAGATTTATGTTTCTCAAGCAAACACAGTTTCTAACAACCTGAGATTTATCAGTGATCAGAACATGGTGATAAACAGAGAATCCCACTACTTAACCAATCTGTATTTGAACATGAATTTAATGCAGAAGGATAGGAAAAGGGTGTTTCATTTGGTATCTTTCATCTTAAAATTTAGTTAAGAATGAATTGATAATGTATAAAATAAATTTCTTTTTGTGATGTGCTTTCTGTGACAAGAAATTAAATTTGGTGTATCTGTTGAGTGATCAGAACAGGGCATAAGTTTCTATAATTCTTCTAAATTAAACCTTGGTTAATTAATTTATGATAGTCTCAATTAGAATGTGTTCACTATTGTAAAAACTAACGTTGAATAAACTATACAATACAACACAAAAATCAACCTATGTATAGAATGATACAAACTGCTCTCTAACATTTTTAAATTTAGAACTAGCTTTGGGAAAATAATGTGAGTTAGCAAGAAAGGCAGATGCTAGATGTATAACTATAAACCTTATATTGCAGATCTTTTAACAGAAAAGATTGAAATGACTTTTTTCGTGACAAAGTTTTTTGTTGGCGTTTAAAAATTAATGAAAACGTTAAGTCCATTAGGAAGATGCTACCCATGATGATTGTTGTCAATAAGTGTTTGTCCAACATGACTTTTTTGACAGTTATGGTGTTTACAAATTCAACAAAATCCATGGATCTCCTGTTTTTGGCCAAATCTCCGTTTTTCTCAATAAAAAATCTGAAATCTCCAGGTTTTGAAAATTTAAGGTTGACAGGTCTGGTTTCTACTGCTGTGAAAGTCAAATATAGAATTACATAATTTGCCTCTGGATTTTAAAATTTTTATAATAAACTGACTGCCTGAGGAAAATAAAGAAAATTTGTCACAATGCAAAGAGTGGTAAAATGTATGCTCCATCAATGTTCATGGTTCTATCAACTAGCTCATATTTTGCATATGTTCTTAGACATTAATCACCATCGTGTTGTTGTGTTGTGTGGCTCATATCGACAGGAAGAACCAGCGCACTACTCCACAATCAGAGCTTCTCATTTTTCCTAAAACTTTCTTTTTATATGAACAGAAATTCATTTGATTTCTTCTCATGAATTGAATGTTTCTCGTATCATGTCAGTGTCACCACCATTTTGCTTTTACTGAAATGAAGCCTCATTTACGATCACTGAAAAGAGATTAATTTTGGCGGGAAAACGAAACGTGGTGAAAGTCCAAACTAAATTAGCCATTAGGTGTATTGCGACGGAAGCTCTGTAGGTGGCTACAATTGTTGGGGAAAGGATGGAAGCAAGTGTCGTGTAATTTATTTCTATTGTGGAGAAGAATGCAGAAAAGATAACCTCAAATAACAAACAAATACAAAGCATTATGACCAACCACCCAGATAAAAAACAAAGAGTGTAGAGGGCCCAAAACAACAATTTTTTCAAACTTCTGCCTTCTCGACAACACATGGGACTAACAAAAGAGACTAAGAGTACCATGATTTTAAAAGTACATGTATGAATTTGACGTATCATAATAAATGTGCCTGACAATCTCATTTAATTTGATCGATTTTAGTAAATGGGTGTGACCATTGTTGAGGGTTTTGCATTCTAGATGATAATGTTTATTAAAGGTGGGGAAATGAGTTAGATAACAGGAGTTTGTCTTTTAAGACAACAAAAAGAAACTTTGGAAAGGCAAATTAATATTACAATTCTCACATATAGATAAAACTTTATTTCTAGTTTATTCTTAAATAATTGTAAGATTTACAAAGTACAGTATTCAGTCCAATACAAAACCTTTCAATATATCTTTCAAAACAACAGAGAAAAATTTGTCTTAAGAATGACCTTGAATACAACCTTGTTGATGTCAACAGATAGTTCACCTTTCGTTCCTTGTTTACCTCCGCATGCTTCAGAATAACTGCCAGATGAAAGCTTAATGTGGTTTCTATGGGAGGGAATAAAAAGAACTTTCACTTCTTACTGACAATCAGGTACCTTTCATTTCCTTTACCAAACGATTTATGTTTTAGGCCATATTGTCGACACAATCTATGAATCAATGCTCTATCATCCTTGGAAAGGTCACTTGAAAACTTAATATCAGAATCTGCACTTTCACTTATGAACCTAAGAAGAGTCTCTTCAACTGCACTTTTTCTGATACTGAGAGATAATTCATGTCCAAACCCTTTTCTTCTATCTGAACTTTCTAAAAACACAGGTTCAGCTATTCCTGTTCTGGTAAGTCCTCCATCACCAGTCCAACCCATATTTCGTAACATGATATTCCCTATATTTGTGTCATCAATCTTTTTAGCATTCTGAAAAGCTGATTTGACCAATTTTCCCTTTTCTACATTTTCTATACTATTGTGATCTACTGGCAGTTTCACAGGCACTGAAGTTCTCAATCTTTCAAGTGCTTTGCAGGCACAATTCTGCTTGGAATCTCTCTTGCTTCTCGCCATTCCAGTTCCTAAAATAGCTCCTTCAATAGCAACTGCTGTTACATGCAGAAGAGTTTTATCTTTATCTTCTTTTAGGCCCAAGTAGTGAAATTCTATGGTCTTTTTTGATTTTTGAGCACTTTCTGTCAACACGCTGATTGGGTTAAAAATTGCAGGGTTTCTGGGCTCGAAAATGGTAAAGCCTTTAAAAGGACTCTTAGATAAAACACTACAGGACTTCTGGCAAGAGTCAGATGAATCTTGAAACTTTACCTGACTTAATCCTTTGTGGGAAGGTATTTTGCCCAATGCTACTTGGACTTCAGTTGGAAGCTCCTGGTCAAGTTCATTCAACATTGCCTGAACTGGCCGGCAATATGTACATCCATGGAATCTCCAATTTGCCCAAGCATTTGAGAGTGATGCCAATCTTCGATCTTCAAATTTGGCTTCATGAGTCTGTATAAATACTCGCCTTGCCTTCCACTGAAACTCATTCTCCCACTGATATTTGTACACGAATGTGGTTTCGTCCGCCATGCTGATTAAACTCCACTCCACTAATAACATCGCTTCCCTGTGGTTAAATCTAGATGTTGCATGGGCGTAGCTCCTTAGAAAAATTGACCACGCCCTTTCAAATGTCTCAGAAAAACCTCCTTTTATAAAAAGAGGTTTATATCGACTACTCTCTTTTTAACCAGACTAATAACAAAAACGGCGACAACAAAACATTCCAATAATAGTTTTCTTCTATTGACTTGCAGGACCGGCGAAACCGGGGAGGCCACTTTTCTGCAGAGCAAGATAATATTTTTAGGCAAAAGTTGAAAGAAATCTAGTCTACCATTCTGTTAGTAACTGTGCTTAGTAATCGCTCAAATACGACCTTAGCTAAGCTTGGTAGCTATGTATTTACCTAAGAAGACATGGAGAAAATTGAAAATTTGAATCTGATCGAAGAAATAGGTAACTGTCCAAGTTGCACAATGAGTAGCAGCTTATCGAGAAATCTGATCCAAAATAAAAAGTCTTGTAAAAGATCGTAAATCGTGTGATCTAATTGTCAGGAGCAGTCAGGATGCGAAGAAAAACGCAAAAAATGATAAACAACCTGAAAAGTAGCTAAACAAGGAACAAAGGCTCTTTTTATCATAAGAAACTTCTGTAATTTTTCAGTACTGAAAGTTTCTTACTTTTTTATAGAATTCAGAATTAAGTTTCTCTAATTTTTATTCTTTTGAAATAGCAGAAAAACAACGGAACGGCAAATTGACTGTAATATAATTTTTCTGAGCACTTCAGTTTTGAATTGATAAAATAGCATCCCACCAAATCCCAACTAAGGATTTTTTAATTAAAAGGTACAAACTGGAGCAGTATTTTCATGCATGCAATTATGTAATGTATTGTAGACGGCTGCAGTTTCAAACTATATTTCTGAGAAAAAATAATGGAAACACTGGCACCCAGGGAACATTCCCCATTACACTCTTTTTTTATAAGAACCAGCAAATTTAAGTTCAGGCTGACTGTTCTTAATTTTTTCAAAAATCTAAGGCTGGGTTGTTCTTAATTTGTTCGTAAATTGAGAAGGTGTAAGCAGTGCTATTGCTAGCTTTTTCGCTCTAAGGAGGTGCTCAGGCCTCATTTGCCAACAAAGTGAGTGAGACAGCCTTAATTTGCTGACAAATTTGAATATTCATCGAAAAAGCACTCACAGATCGCAAAAATCCTCGATTATGTAAAAAAACGTTGTTCAAAATTGCATTTTGCAGAAGCTCAGCCTCAGCTTATTCTTAATTTGTTCTCAACTTTTGACCAGTTTTAGGGTTCGTGTTCTTATAAAATTGTTCTTATAAAAAAAAGAGTGTACCGAAAAAGGACAGTGCGGGGTGCCGCCATTTTATAGATTCTAAATTTATAATCATTCGCTTCGAAGTTATAAAAAAGGGAAAAAATTGTCTGCGAAATCTTAAACAAATGGCTCAGGTCTTGAAAGCAGTTTGGTCACGTTGCATTATCATGTTTTTGAAAGTCATACAATTTTTGTCCGTAAAATCTGGGAGCCTGTATCCCCCACTATTTTGATTTAACTTTGCCCCTGAATTTGCCCATTCCTTATTGAAGTTTGCATACTTGTCCGCTCTCACAACTTTCTTCATTGGCCTCTTTTCATGCCTTCTCTCAGCAGACGCTTTCGTTGCTTCAAAGATTAGAACTTGTAGCCGACATTTAATAAAGTACCACTCACTATAGTGTGGCCTCTCTTGAATTAAAAAAATCCAAATTGCATCCATCTATCGTCCCTCATTGGTCTTCACCTTCTTTCTTTTTAGCCTTCTTTCAAGCAGTCGCTTTGTGCTTTAAAATATTACATATAGCAAACTTTTAGGGGTGATGTTTTATGATTAAATAAAACACCTTGCAATCAGTGACGTAGCTTGACTTTCAAGACAAGGAGGGAGGGTGTAAGAGGTGGTGGAAGGTCATGAGTAGTAGTAAAATTTACCAACAAAGACAGATAAAGAGAAATTTAGTTGCTATTTCACCGACTGACAAACCAGGGAATTTGGTACCAACTAAAACTTAACCGATAGCTCATGAATAATCGAGGGGGTGTAACACCCTCCTACACCCTCCTACACCCCCGCTAGCTACGCCCCTGCCAGATGTAGTGCCAGAGGGGGGCAAGGGTGCTACAGCCCCCTCCCGTCGGAGCTGCTTAGGCAAACCGCCGGAAATTACATGAAGAAAGTTCATAATTTTTTCGGAGCAATATTTTGCTACCGTTTGTAAAAATTTTGCAAAAAAGAAAGAGTAACTAATTACAAAAATCCCATTGATTATTAATGTACAGCCAGGAGACTCCCAAGTAATTTACACACCACATTGGGAAGCTCAACTCTCTCTTTCGGCATACCAAACGGCAATGGGACTATCAATATAAGTAACATTAGGACTACTAGGACATAGTTTTAAAAGATAAAGAAGTAAAACAAGTATGGAAACAGCCACCTATACTCGCATTTAAAAGACATTAAAACATTGGAGATCTAATAACCCCCACCCCAAGAGTTCTAAATCACTTCTTAACTCGGTAGATTCGTCATTTTTGGTGCTCTGAAATCTCATTTCGATATGACCCTCTTGGCTCTTTGACACGTTAAAAATTAAGAGCGTTCATAATGTAAAAAATTCACAGAAAAAGATCTACAAAGAGCTTTTTAAATATAAGTCTTTTGTCTCTTTAGAAACATTTTATTGTTGAATTTATGTCCTGTCATCATCTTAATGTTTGTGCGTCTTTTCGCAACTGGGATACTACGTTTTATCTCAGATTGCCTAGCCCCCCAGTCGGAAGGTCAAGCCATTCAGTCGGAAAGCTTCTACTGCCACCACTGACCCCTGCTTGGAATATGGTTTTGAGATCTTTTGAATATGCAGGCGCCAAACCCCTAGAAGAATTCCTTCTGTCATCAGGAAAGCAATCAGCACTAAACACCTCTGCGCCCATCCCCCTAAAAAGGATAATATCTAAAACCACGCTACTGTCCTGTACCCAGTGCCGTACTAACCGCGGGGCAGATTGGGCACTACGCCCCGGACCCCTAGCGTTAAAGGGGCCCCAAATTTTTCGGATTGTCCGACAAACATAAACTAACCTATACTTTATAAACAACTGAATTTGTCAGATTTGACCCTTTTCTTCAATTTATTTAGCATAAATTTAGCTCAATTAACATAATGGCAGTATACATAGAACGTTTCCAGTCAAACGCTGATTTCTATTCTCCAAAAACATGCAAAGCAAAGTGTGTTAAATTAATAAGAAGCACTTCATAAAAATTTTTTCAAAAAAATAGTTGAAAATTCCCTAAGGATAATAAAAAACTCTGGAAAACTAACCAGGCATTATTAGATAAGAAAGATAACAATTCAAATCAAATCATACTGGTAGAAAACGAAACAATTTAGTCTGACGACAAAATTGAAGCACAAATGTTTTATAATCACTTTCTATCTATTACTGAAAGCCTCAATATATCTCTACCATATCTTATCATATAGTCCAGTCGCATAGCTCCATTTTTCGGTCCGATTGTGACAGACTGGAACAAAGCACCAAACTTGTTGTGATGATACCTTGGGGCAAGGACAACATTTCCAGAAGGGGTGCCGGTTTCTATCGATTTCGGGGGGTAAGCCAGAGACAAAAATGGTATGACGTCATAGAAAAGTCCCCAGAAAGCTTTCTTTGAGATCATCCATCTATGATAGTATCAATTGACAAAGATTTAGATGACTGATTTATTACTGTAAAAGAACAATATATAAAAATGGTTTTTTCTATTTTGGTACATTTGAATTTTCTCAAGATCTGGGGTCAGCACATAAAGGCACAGAGATCACTTAGACTTGGCCTGGGTAAAGGTTGAGCCAGAACAGCTAGCAAAGTAAAGAGCTCTGATTCCGTAGCTTACTAAAAATAATTCGGCGTTAGCTGTAGATACAGGTAGGAAAGAACCTTTTTCTTTTACTGAAGCCATGGCTTTAAGGAAATGCTAGCAGAACCGTTTTGAAGATTCTTCTTCCGAACAATCTAATTTTCTGCTTTCGCTCGACTGTTGAATATGAAACAGAGCAGGGTAAAGGTATTGCTGCATGTAATAAAAAACTGACAAGAAGTGCAAAGAAAGCGCTCAAGGAATGATTAATTATTGTCAAGCGATGACAAGAAAATTGTACGCTCTGGGCGAGTTTGAAAAATAGTATATCATGAGTAATAACTACGTAAAACGTCGAGTCGCAAGTAGTTTTCAGAAGAGGGGACAAGACTGTCACAATGTTTTTGGCAAGCAAAAGAAGAAATGCAAATTGTGTTTGCATTTGATTAAACTGGTTTTCGTAATAATTAAGAGTAAACCTTTTGTTGAAAGTATTGCTATATATAAGCATACTGTATACTTAATGTCTGAAAATGCAGACAGCAAAATGATTCAGCAGACGATTACCAAAGTTTCAAGGAAACCTATTTAGGATGATCTAGATACACAAATTTTGTGCAGCGGTATAGAAAACAAATTCGATGGAAGCGTCTGCAAGTAGACATAGAAATTCATAGAAATGAGCCTAACTCTGTTGAGCCCAATTATTCTCAGCTGAAAGAAGCATTGTCGCTGAATGCAAAACTGAAGGCAACTATACAGAAGATGAAGAGCGAAACAGCGTTACAGAGCAAGTCATGTTCCCTAGCAAGGACCCTTCAATGTGCGCTATCGAAATTTAGACACCATGTGGGGGCCTAAGTCAATTCTTGCTTGTCGTACAAGGTCTTATGCACGTTATCAGTCACTTAATTCAACTGCGAGAGTTTTTTCCAAAGTCAAATATGTTAAAGTATCGTCCAGGAAGCACTACGAGAGAAGATAGGCTTTAAGTTACAATGCTAAAGAGTATCAAAATTGTGTTGCTGAACAGTTTAAAAAATGAAAGCATTATAGATCGTCTGGTTCAAGCAGTCAAGGAATAGCAAAATTGAATTTGGAAAGAAAAAAATGAAATCCTAATGAGACAGAATGTTTGC